ATATGGTATAAATTGTAAAAAGGAACGTATTTACTATAACATATTCATTTTACGGGGATTTACGAGATCCTTCGAATGAACAAATTGTTTAAAATAAAGTGAAGGAATAAATAAAATATTGACCAATTAACATCCATTCATTAATGTCCCTTCAACCATGTCCCGTCTCCGATCTGTCTTCGCACGTTTGTTTTCTTATTGCAGAGCAATTTCATGGTTGTTTTTTTTTTTTTTTTTTTTTTTAAGCGAAGCGTTTTATCGGATAATTTAAATTCGAAAATCACCGATCGTTCTTTTTTACCGACGGAGCTAAGTACTCCGTTGTCGAAGGATTGTCGTAAATAACGTTCACGACGGAAAATTATACGCTTGTCAGAAACGACTACAAAGTCGATTAAAAGCACCGAAGACGTTCTCTCAAGGTGATCAAGATCGAAAAGTCCAGCTGAAGCGATAAACGGAAAAATGGCTGGTTCGCGCTTATCCTTCCTCCCAAGGATCAACCTTAGGCGCCGCGCGAAGATCTCCATTACAAACACCGCCGTCGATAAGCAAAACCCTAGAGCCAGAAAATAAAACGCGAACTCGAGGTCGCTCAGCTTCGTCACCTCGAACCTATTCCTCTCGTCGTCCTTCGTTCTTCTCTCCAACCATTTACGAACGTACTTAACCCTCACCTTGTCCCACCGATGCTCGATCATCCCGGTCTGCCACAGACGCGTCAGCAGATCGCTGAGTCGATCCTTCAGCGGCCAATTCGGTCGCGCCGCGAATGCTGAGTACTAAGTGTACAACCTGTGCTTCGAGAGACGAAGATTCTTCTTAAAAGAGATGCCTAATAACGTAGATCTATCCGCGGCACAAGCTACGTTTCTCTCCCTAGTCACGTACTCGCTGCAGTCCCAATGATCCACGGTTTCCGCGCGTGAAAATAGAACGTCGTCGAAGAGAGCGTTCTTGCATCCGCGATAAGCGTAGATCTTGAATTCAGACTCTTCCAAGGTGTCTGTCGAGTCCGCGGGCAAGTTAGGAACAGGCGAGGTGAGAAGAGACGACAAATTACTCTGGAACGAAGAAGAACACGGCGATGAGATAAACCTTGAGCGGACTTCTGACGGGAAAATGCAACATGGAATTATTCAAAGCTATTCGAAGCACCTCGAGGCTCGCGTGTGCTGTTCCTCGAGCCGTAAAAATTTCAAGGACGACCACAGTGCCCACGCAGGCTAGCACGATCGTTAGTGTCAGTGTAGGATTCGTGAAGTTGAGGATCTTCGCGTAGGCTGTCTCGTTATCGGGATACCTGGTCAGAATGCTGATCCCTGAGTTCACGTGAGGATAGGTGGTGGTCGTGTTAGGCTTGCCGAAGACGTACTGAATATTCAGCAACACGTCGTACACGCTGTTCGCCACTGGGGGCAGGAACGCGGAGTAACGAGTGTTGTTCATCACGCCAGTTAGTCGCAGGCCCGCGTTCAACTTGCTCAAAAGCAATCCGGCCACTGTGCCGTCCAAGCCGCACAACTTGTTCACGTCGTCTTCCGAGTGATCGATCATCAGGCTGGGAGGATTGCGCGGGGCCACTGCTCGCACTATGTGACCACCCAGTGTCCCTGTTTTAGAGAAGTCCAAGTTCTCGCAGGTTGTTCGACCTAGAAACGCGACGAGCTGGTCTCTGCGATGTGTTTTGGCGACGATGTTGATGTTGTTTGTCTCTGAGCGTTGTTTAAGGGGAGGTGGTAGGCTGAGGGAGAAGTAGGCGAAGTTTGGGAACTTTTTTTGACGATAAGTTACGAATGAAAAGTTTCGAAAATTGAAGCTTTTTGTTTAGTAATTGTTTGTTAAAAAAATTTCCAAATTTTACTAGATAACTGCTGAGGGGAAAGTTTCAATTTTGAAAATAGGTGACGTTTGGGAATCTTTTCGATGATAAGTTACGAATGAAAAGCTTAGAATTTTGAAACTTTTCATTTGGTAGTTGTTTATTAAAAAAATTTCCAAATTTTACTAGATAACTGCTGAGGGGAAAGTTTCAATTTTGAAAATAGGTGACGTTTGGGAATCTTTTCGATGATAAGTTACGAATGAAAAGCTTAGAATTTTGAAACTTTTCATTTGGTAGTTGTTTATTAAAAAAATTTCCAAATTTTACTAGATAACTGCTGAGGGGAAAGTTTCAATTTTGAAAATAGGTGACGTTTGGGAATCTTTTCGATGATAAGTTACGAATGAAAAGCTTAGAATTTTGAAACTTTTCATTTGGTAGTTGTTTATTAAAAAAATTTCCAAATTTTACTAGATAACTGCTGAGGGGAAAGTTTCAATTTTGAAAATAGGTGACGTTTGGGAATCTTTTCGATGATAAGTTACGAATGAAAAGCTTAGAATTTTGAAACTTTTCATTTGGTAGTTGTCAACGAAAAATATCTCCAAATTTTACTTATTGGTTTTTTATAGGTAATTATGTACAATACTAAGTGAAAAGTTTCAATTCTGAAAATAGGTGCAGTTTGGGAATCTTTTTGTAGATAAGTTCTGCACGAAAAGCTTCAATTTTTGGGGTGGATGTAAATGTGACTTTTTTGATTTTTTCTGCAATTTTTTGAAAGTGGAAGTGTTACAAAGTGAAGGAATTATTCGTTAATTGCAAGTTACATCTACATCCTCTGGAAAAATTGAAACTTTTCTTGTAGTATTTACCTACAAAAAAATTTCCAAATTTTACCTATCTTTAGACGCCTCAGAGTAGCTCTCCCCCTTGAGAATAATTAAATTTCGACCAGGTTTACGATACGGACGTGATTCCTTTGCTAAAATGCTGAGATTCAACCCCTTGTAAAAGGATCGCGAACTAAAAGCTTTATTTCAACGAAGTTCACCATGAGAATAAATCAAAGAGTCAAACTAGCGTTTGTGAAGAGTAACAATTACAGAAAATTAATTCTACTAAAATAAAGAATATACTATACTACAATTTCCAAGAGAAATTTCATTTATTCAACTTTACCAATTCTTCGGTGAGCACTTCAAACCGATCATCAATTTACAAGACACGACTAATAAATACAACTTCCCCAAAAAATTCACAAATACACTCTTCACGACGTCCATTCTTCCACTGCGGTAAAAGTTCTTCCGTGTCCCAGTATTGCCAACAAATCAAACGACTTTTCTCCAATCCCAGAGGACTTCCTTCCATACGCGAACAAACAACTTCGGAGAACCGACCGATAGATCTATCTTCTCACCAATCTTCGAAGTTGTTCCCTCTCGAGAAGAACCTCTGCGAGAAAAACAACGGCCGCACAGGTGTATCCAATGGCGAGGATATGAAAACCGAAGGAAATATGTTGGATCTCCACGGTTCGGAATCTTCTGGTTTGTTCGACTCGTCTCTTCCTCCACGCTCTGTACAGCTTCCTTCGACTCAGCTTCTCCCACATGGTCACGAGCCCAGTTTGAACCGCGTTACGTATCATGCCTGACACACGAGTGAACAGAGGCCAGTCCTCTCTGGTTACGTAGACTTGGACGTTCAGTTGTATCCTTTCGGATCGATGGAGACGCTGATTTTGGATCCTCTCGTAGAGATGATTGCAGTCGCCTAGACACGCCGCGTCTGGAGACTCGAGGACGTTGTTCTTGCAGCCGTGGTAAGTTTCTTCGCGGAAACGTTGTCGGAGTTTGTTGTCCTGGAGCTCTCTGAAGTTGAATATGGAGCCGTAGATTTGGTGGTTGGATTT